AGAAGCGCCAAACAAAACGTTTACCTCCTGGTTTTTGTTGATTATTTCTCCCAGTGGGTTGAATTGTTCCCCATCAGAAATGCCACGGCTGAAACCATCTCTCAAGTCATAGACATCTGGACCAGGTGGGGTATTCCTGATTACATTCTGTCTGACCGTGGAACACAGTTTGTGTCATCAGTTTTCCAAACAGTATGCAGAACCTGGAATGTGAGACACAAGTTAACCTCTGCCTACCACCCCCAAACCATCCTTACAGAGAGAGTGAACCGTGTTCTAAAATCAATGATAGCGTCCTATGTAGGGGACAATCACAAACACTGGAACAAGCACCTGTCTGAGTTTCAGTTCGCGATTAACTCTGCAGTCCAGGAGTCAACAGGCGTTACTCCTGCAGAGTTTAATCTTGGTCTCTCCCTCAGAGGACCTCTGGATGCAATGTTGCAACCTCAGCAAACTGCTCCAGACATCCCTTCCTACACCAAAATTACACAGCTAAAAGATCTTTGTTCGTTTGTTTTTAAAAATCTGGACTCTGCTCGTCAACGGCAGAAAAGAAACGACGACAAACACAGACGTGACCTTGAGTTTCAGGAACAGGACAGAGTCTGGTTGAGAGCCCATCCTCTCTCCAAGGCAGAGAAATCGTTGCCACCAAATTAGCCCCAAAATGGCAAGGACCATATCGGGTGGTGGAACAAGTTGGGCCTGTGAATTATCAAGTTGTTCTAGAAGATTCAGGCAAGGACTTGAAAGTTATCCACATTGCCCGTCTTAAACCTTGTTATCTGACTGCTCCGGACCTAGAGGAGCAGGAAAAGAACTGCATTCTTGAATTCCTGAATGAGGAGTCGAATGAAGAGGACTTCCTTGGGTTCGCGGACACCTCCTGTTCAACTTCTAATGAAGGATGGAGGAAAAGATCTGCAGAAAAATCACAAAATTACAATTCTGACAATACCTATGACTCTGACAATGACTACGGTCACAAATCAAACATCCGTTAAACACCCACATTCATCTCACACTCCAATGAAAAACAGCCACAGTGCCTGCGAAGTCTGAATCCGTCCTCCAGGAAGGGCGTTTGTATAGGCGCAAGTCACCGGTGATCGGCGTGGAGAGTCATTGAAAGAAAGTCAGTGAAGGAGAAGTGTTACCTCGGCATAGAGCGTGATTGAAGTCCGTGTTATAGCCGTTTGTTAAAATCTTCGTCGTTGGAGGTCAGTCTTTGTCAGGCCCGATTACCTGTTGGATTTGTTTATTTCCCTGTTCCTGGCGGATCAGCTGTTCCCTGGAGTCAGGAGATGCCGGCCGCAATGGAGCAATGCCCAACTCTGACTCTGACTACTGACTGACTTAAAAACTTCGGTACCGTGAGTACCTAGTGTGTCTTTTGTTTATTTGTGTTTTGATTGTCGCACCGCGAAGAGAGACGCTGGTTTTCTTTTGAGTTTGTTTCCTTATTTATTTTCGAGGCCCGCGGTAAAACCTGGAGCAGGGTTTTTGTTTTGTAGTTTGAACATTGAACTGAAATGGACTGAACTGTGGGTTGTGGGTATACCGGAGCGGACTCTTTTCGGAACGGGAGTGAACTTTGATGTACAAACACAAACTGTGAAATGCGCACACACACAGTGCGCACATTCATTTTGTTTGCAGTGTGGTTGATGCATGTGATAATATATATATATTTGAAATCGCATTGTTGTTTTTGTTTGATTGTTTTGTGGCTCTTGCTTATGTCATATTTTGTGCAGGTTGACTATTTTTTGTTTGCATTTAATTTTTATTTGTCAGACTTAACTCTGACTGGCACCCCAAATTAAAACCTTGTCAAACCCGCTACACAGTAAAAAATGAAGGACAGTAACAATATCATTGCAAATGTCCCAATAAAAGCTGTGAGGAGGTTTTTGGTGGTTATTATGAAACTGACATTACTGATGCCTCTTTATGAGCTCCAAAAAAAAACAAGACTTTTTGACGGACGATTTGTTATTTCTATAAGTAATTTCATATATCCCTATCACTGGATATATTTAAAACAAGGCGATTACTGGCAAGCTTCCAAAACAGCCTGTTTTACTTTCTTCCATGCCAAAAAAAGTCATTGTGAAGTACATGTTAGACATTTAAAATAACAAAGGAGATGTTTTGGCATAAAACTCGAAAGAAGAAGAAGTTCTTCAAAGAGACACTATTCCCACTTTGTCCACAGGGGGCGCCAAAATCGACACGAACCAAAAGTTCCTCACAGAAAATTAAATGTGTTACCCTTCCATTAAAAAACATCCCAACGTTGAGTTCCCTAACTAAATTCTTGGGTTGGAGGACTCAACAATTTGAGAGGCTTTATGGGTTGTCACAACATCAACCTGAAAGTGATTTTTTTATATGAATAACTTTTAGAGGTATGAAGAGTGATTCATTCTTAACATTCCAAAGAGTGACTAAAATAGGCTTAAAGATTGTTTAAGCTTGACCAAACAGTGATGTCATGGTGCACTGACACATGGGACATACACTTTTACATCACTGCAGCGAGGTGAGAAGTTGAACTTCATGAGGTGAGCAAAAACAAGGGTGTTAGGTTTGTCTTCCCATAAAAAGGTCAACATTGAAGCAGCAGAGGCCAGGGAATTCTGTCTATTAAGCCTGGCTCACACTGCAGGATAATCGGGCCGATTTGAGCTCCGATTCTTCCTTCCCGACAATCGCAGGGTCGCTCCCGACTCAAGGCTGCTGGGACCCGATTATCTGCTCAGATTATCTTGTAGTGTGAGTGGTACAAAGATCCAATCTTAATGTCCCTGATCTGCCCGGCGAGCATTGGGGATGCCCCGATTTATTTCAAACATGTTTAATATTTAGAATTTAAAATCTTGACGATTACGTCATGAAAGGGTCCGGCAGAAGTTGTGTGTGACTACAATATAATGACAAAAACAAGGGAGGAATGTAGTCATGGCGACCAGAGGCAGGACGCAACCCAGCGTTTTTCGTTTTTTGGGGGGTTTTTTCGGTACAGATCATCAGTGCAGCACTTTTCTGAAACTTGTACAGTGGGACCCAGGCTTAAGTCTGTTGTTTGTGTAAAGCTTGAATACTCCTGGAACCTACATTTCCCATCATGCAATTCAGTAGTGTCTTTCATTTAGCCCCAAGAGATTGTTCAGATCCCATAGCTCTAATTTGTAAAGAAGTGTTTCAGTAAACATCGTCAGGGTCAATTTCTGGAAAAATTGGGAAATACAATAAAGTTTGTATTTGGCAATCAAATTCTAAGTTTGCAAAGCATACAATAAATACATTTCCATTTAAATATGATATAATAAAAACACATCATAAAATATAGTCTTTGGTGGAAAGATATGAAGTGATATTAGAGAGAGCTGTGCAGATACGTGTGTGTTCTGTGATGGATAATCGGATTACAACCTGTTTGAGACACATTTCTAATGTGATGTCTGCAGGTAGAAACAAAGTTTGGGAACAATTGAACAGCATGTATAGTTCTTAAATTCAAGAACCTACTTATTGAAAGAAATTCTAAAAAAAAAAAAAAAAAAAAAAAAAAACAACTAAAGGTGACAAAATGTATTGAAGATGAATGTCAGTTATTTGGCAGCCTCTGAATTGGAAGTTAAATCTACTGTAAGGAACTTTCGATTTGTGTCAGTCTTGATAACCCCTGAGGACAAAGCTGTAACTTTCATCTCTTCCCTGATCTTGTCCTGTACATGAGAGTTATATTTTCATTCAGAAAGAACTCATCCTTCCTCTTTTTTTAGCAGATACATATTGCTCACAGTGATTCTTTTTTAGTGTAAACTGTAAATAAAGGCTCCTTTAGCTTTTGTGCTGTTCATGGCCTTATCTGACACTGAACCAGTGGCACTATAACAAGCATTAAAAGTTACTGGTAATTGTCTGTCTTCTTCATGATGGTCTTCTCAGATTTGGTAGATCATATAAAGGCATCAGTATTAATTTCAGTCACTTGATAATGGTTTAAAGGCTCTGCTTCATATCAGCCCCATGGACAGCGCACCGCCATGCTGCAGGATGGAGACCAGTACATGGCAACGCAATGTGACCTTTCAATTTGATTTAAAACTTCATGTCCATCTTTTGATATATACAGTGTCTAACAGAGGTATGCCCCTCCCCTCATTTACAGTGTTATGCCTTGGAATTCAGATGGAATTTAATATAACAAACAGAAGTTAACCAATAGGCAGTCATCTGTTGATTGCAAAAACATTAACCTGATGACAAAGCTTTTTACATCATATTAATAAGGGGTTTAGCAGCAAAGCACCCAAGACTTTCAGATTGCAATATAAAAAGGATTTTCAAAGACAATTCATATTTTACACATAACTTAAAGTTAACCTTGTTTTGTATTTTACCATCACATAAAACCTAAATGAAATTAATTTCAAAGTAGAACTAGATAGGTGAGTTAATATTGATGCAGGGGAGTGTGAAGTATTAGGACTGTTGTGTATGCTATAGGTTGAAGGACAAACTAGAAGCAGCTGACATCTACAGGATGTTATGTGGAATGTTTAAAGGACTTTAAAACAACGCAAAAAGAAGTAAAAGGTCACTGTATATAACGTTATGTTTTCTTTGTGTTTAGCAATCCAATTAAAGGCAAGAGTAAAGTACTCCCTGCTGCTTCTTTTACACCGGGCAGCGGGCAGGGTGCAGACCGGACCCGTTGGGGAAGAGTTTTGAGCCTGAGCGGAGAAGGGAAGTTGCACCGCCCCGTTCAGACAGCAGGGCTGGAGCAGATAAAAGCTCAGATAGTGATTGAAAGTGATGGTAAAGGGATTTAGCCTGGGCATTAACAGAGAGAGAGAGAGAGAGAGGGGGAGAGAGAGAGCCATACACACACACACACACACACACACACACAACGAGTGAAAGCCAGGGAGAGAGAGAGAGAGAGAGAGAGGAGGAGAAGGAGGGAGGGTGATATTTTCCATAAAGCCTTTTTCTCTCTTTCTTTCTGCCCTTGAGCATCCCGGGTAAACCCAAGCTTGTAAAGTGGGAAGAGGAGGAGGAGTGGGGGAAGAAGGGCGGGCACAAGCCTTTCCTCAAAGTCAATATTTTATACTTTTGATACTCCTTGACGCTGGATTTTACTCCTCTTTTTACCCCAGCCGTTTCCAGATCTAGGACACGGATCTCGCGTGCGCAGCCGTCTGCAGTGATTAAAAAAAAAAGTATTCGGCAGAAGAAGGCAACAAAAATATAGAAACAACGAGCAGCCGGGCCGGGCCGGCGGATATCGCGGAGTACAGTGAGGACAGCGGCGGGGAGCGAGTACAGTGGACGATCAGAGGAGGAGGGGGGGGAATCTTTGTACCTACAGAGGGGGGGACGTGCACGGACTCCTCCACACAAAGTGCTGACCTGTCTCTCGGATGCACGTTAGAAGTAAGTGCTTTATCTGATACAATCTCAACACGGTGCATTTTGCTGTTTTGCTCTTTGAAGTCTGCACTGAGGAGCTGTTCTGAGTTCAGCACATTTATCCGGACCAGTGCGGGATAAGCAGAGCGGTGAGGGGACTTTGAGCTTTATTTACACCATTTTAGACAACAATATTGCTGCTTTTATTTATCAGCATACAGGATACATATATTTTAAGAGATTATGCGTCTAATTGTTGTCATTGACACACCCCTACGACACTGTCAGTTCCGGGAAATCGCTTTGGCGACTTTACTTGACAGCTGAACTACGTCCGCAGGGTTGTTGTGTGGGACAGGCTGTGTAAAGGACCTGGCTTCTGCCAGTGCGGGATAACTGCCGGATTATGATCAATGAGGGCACACTGCAAGAAGTGTCAGCTTTGTTTTATGCATGTATTCATGTATTCACTTTAAAATCTAATTACAGTTGAATTAGGTGAATGCATCAAGGAATAAACAGCACAGTGCATGCTGGCGTGTTTAAAGTTTAAAGCAGGAGCAAGACCAAACATTTGACATATTTATAATTCATAACCATCCAGAAAGATTTAACTTTTTTAATAAAAATTATTTAACAAAGATTTTTTTCGGGGAAAATCTCCTTTTTACGCACATTTACGCACATGTGAGGTAAATATCTGATTGATGCTTTTAAATATCTTTCTTGCTGTGCTCTTACTAAAAAACACACACCTAAAGCCCAGGATGTCCCGCATTTATGGGCTGATAGAGCGATTACAACTCCTGCACGCAGCCGGCAGCAGCACGTGTTTTTACGCACAAGGTTATCCTCACAACACGCCGCTTTATCATGTCTTTTTAATGTACGACTTCATGATACATACAACATAAAAGGCACCGCAGGGGAGTTGAGAGTTTTCACCAAAACTTGCCCGCTTTGTCACCAACTTTCTGTGCCAAAAATCCCCTTAAAACTTCTCCTTCTCCTGAAGACGGATGGGATGTTTTTTCACTTTCCAAGCTAAATTACCGCCAATTACCACAGAATAATTAGGGAGTTAATTATCCTACAAAATAAGAACGCAACACACTCATCCACATGTATATTTCAAAGCCTTGCATTAAACTTTTATTCATGCAAAAGAGAAACAGCATGCTGGATGAATTTCAACTTAAAACCGAGCTCTGAAAAATATCATCATGCAGCATCGCTTCGTTTACTCTTGAGATCAAGCATGTGGTGGATAGATGAGCATACATTGCACTAACACCCCGTTTGTCCTCATTTCAACTCTAGGACAATCAGAGGAGCTCGGCCAGCGCAAGACGTCCAATGGATGTAGCTGAGGACGCAGCAGCTTCCTTTCCTTCATCCTCTCTGGCCGGCTGCACCGTTCCACAGCAGGACACAGAGCTCTTAGGCATGGATCCGCGTTAACGCCACCCACCAAACTCCCATCAACACTATGGTTAAAGTGTATGCCGAGATCCATCTCAGTAACATCATCCGCACCTCCATCAATCGCTCATCTTCCTCGGGAAGTCAGCCGTTAAAACAAGAAAGTGTCCCTCTGCCGGCGCTCTGGGGGTCGTCGATATTTGTGAAGAGAGACTGAGAGAGAAGTTGCCGATAGTGTCCTCCTGTCATCCAGAAACCTGGAGGCGAAAAAGCGATAAAGTTCCACAATATGGTGGTGAGGATGTCCACTGTTTCCTCATGATCACCGCTCCATGCGCCTCACCTCTCCGCTGAGCTCCGTGGCCCCCTCACCCTGCGCCGGACCCCGCTCCAAACACCCCATCACCCCCCCCTCCTCCACCAGCCTGCCATGCTCCTCCAGGCCGTGTTTCTGCTGCTGCTGCACTGCTTGGCCTCAACGCTGGGCCAGTACGAACTGTGCAAGTCCCTGGTGAGCACGGATGAGGGCTCGGTGTGGGAGCAGTACGCGTGCCAGCCCAAACAGGCGTCCATGAAAGACCACATGCGGATCAAGGTGGATCCGCCCGGGATCACATGTGGGAACCCGCCTGAGAGGTTCTGCACACTGGTGAGTACATGTCCGGATTTTTAAGGCTTCTTTTAAACTTTTATTCATAACTTTACAACTCGTGGAGATGTAGGTCAAATAAGGAAACTGGTTGGAATCTTTAGTGTAAAAAGTTTAAAAGCCATTTTCTAACAAAATATCAACTCGACTCCAAATTAAATAAAACAATGAAGAAAAATCAATAAATGTAAAATAAAAACTTTGTACTATTTTAACTCTGAAATCTTGTATGAGGGTTTATGAGGTTGGAGATAGATCTAAAACTTTTTCAGAACTGTAAAGCAATTAGCCAATCGATAATCAACACTTTTCTGACAGTTTTAAGCATGCAGTGAGTTTTACACAACATTTTTAACAGATGTTTGGTTTTCAGAAAATCCTAATAAATATATGATCATTTGAAATTCAGCATAGATTCAAAGGTCATTAAAAACCAATGAATGTACGATACTTTTTACTTGGAACAAACCATACTTCCCACACATGCAATTAAGCTTGAGATTGACTCACAGCAAAGGTCGAATTAAAGTCAGAGCAGGATTCACACCATCAAAGCTATAGGGATCTAAAAGGGATGACATAAGTGCGATGACTTGGCAAAGCTCGACCTCCCTCAGAGAGCTCCGGAGGTGTTGTTTACATTAGTATGGACTTGGCAGCCTGGGATCTGGTTTGATTTCCTCTGGTAAAATGCATATAGCGGGACCTTTTTTTACTTCCAAGGACACTGAAGGGTGAGCTGAGGGGGAAGAACTCGTTAAAATGTCTTCCACAGCAATATTTAACAACGCTTTGGCCTGCAGGCGCGTTCCCATCCCGGCTAATGTAAGTGTAATAATTTGAAACAAGGGTTATAAAATCATTGTAATCCTACGAGGGCTGCAATTAAGCTTCCTTCCTCGCCTCTTTGGTGGAAAGTTTTTATGTTTGACTCATAAGATTTGACTCACTGTGAGACAGCAAGTTCGTCCTCTTGATGATCGAGTGTCCGCTCGCTTAGCTTGGCCGGCATTGGAGGTGTCAGACCTGCCTCCAACAGCCATGAGTCAAAATCTCACAGAAAGTGTTTGCAGAGAGAGTGCTCAGGCCTGTCTACATCATGTCCTGCTGTTAATTAGTTTGTTTCTGTGCGGCTGAAGATGTGTTACCCTCCACTTCCTCTCACTCAACAGCACGTGGGGTCATTTGACAGGGAGCGGGAGTGGACATGGTGCTCCTCGGATACCTAATGGTTAATGATTTGTTTAATGTAGAGGTAGCGGAAACCACTGTCGTCTTGAGAAAGCCTCTCCGATGTCTTCTCCTGAGCTGGGAGACGGACACAGCTGAAGGAAGGTGAAGTGAAGAGGGATGCTCGCTGCCATAACGTATTGACGTCTGCCCCCTAATGGCCCCAGCCTGGAAACTTCTATGACTATTTTTCTGAGTGAGCAATGATGAAATATTGATGGGGTTCTTAATGGGCTTCCTTACAAGGGTTAGCCAGCGTCGCTCCATCCAAAGGATCCATAGTGCAGAAAGAGAAAGAAAGAAAGTGGGGTTTAGAGAGGGCGGGACAGGAAGGAGTCTGGTCTTGGTCAGCACTTTTTCATTGGTCGGGGTCTTTTCAGTGGAACGTTGCAGTTCTTCTCAGGTCATCTGTCTCTTTGGGGATTGAATCAGACCCCCCATGGCGTGCAAGAATGAAGGATTTATAGAGTGAGAGAGCTGGGAAATGAAAGTTTACTTAAGAAATGAGGGATGACGTAGTCAAATTCATACATAATGAAACCAGAGTTGGTTTAATCCTGTAATTTGATTATTATTTGACTGATTTGTGTCTATTTTGCGCCATGTCCTTTCTTATCGATCACGTTTTAATCCACATTTTTGCATTTATCTAAAATTTAAACTCTACATTTGGAGTTACCGATCACTATGCAGCCACTCAAGCTTTAATCCATCTACACACACTTAGCAGGGAATCTAGCCCATTACTTCTCCTGTTTCTTCATTTACACCCACAGAATGACTATTAGCTGAGGGTTATTGGTATACAGATCATTTATTTTCAGGAAAGCACAATTTTTCCCCTCTACCTCCTGCCTCCCCCTGGATTTGGCAGCTTTACAGGAAAGCCAGTTTCTTTTCTAATTGGTGTACATTTACATTCACTCATTCAGCAATCCCACAAGTTGAGGGAAAGTCAGGGCACCGAAAAAAACAAGCCTACATCACCCAGTGTGCAGAGCCGCACATCCCTAATAAGACTAGAGACGTACTGCAGAAGATGCAAATCATTTCTCCCCATTTCCCTTACCCTATGAGTGCTACAGTGCTTTCATAAAAACTATTGGAGAATTCGCTGTTTTTTTGTTTTTTTTGATGTACTGTAGCTTTCCCTGCTTGCATTGCTTTACTGTAGTTTTTTTGTGCCTCCATCTCCACAGGGATGCATTTTTTTCCACTCTATTTATCTCTCTTGTTTTCTGGGAATGCAGCATTCTTTCTCCTCCGCCAAACAGGCCAGCATGTTGGCTTCCATAGACATGACGGGCTTCCAGCACTTTGACTAAGATGCTACTGTCACTAGCACTGTGTTGGGAGCTTCACTAGTTTCTTTGTAGTTTTCCCTCGTATGATAGCTACTATAGAGTGTTCGCTCGCAGTTGAGGATGATGGAGTAAGGCGGTTTGAGAAGGAGGCTGAGGCGGCGTGTTGCAGAGGGGGGAGAGCTAATGATGAGGGAGAGGTGAGGAAGATCCAAGCTTAGCTAAGCAGAAAGATGAAATCACACCACAGTTCCACAGTAGTACACATAGTGACGATATATAAAATGCTACACTCAAAAGAAGAGTCTCACCGCGCCCGTTGTTTGTTATTTTGCGTTTTGGTTTTTGAACCGAAACCTTCAATCACCAAATCTCCCTTGGGCCTGTGAACAGAGAGCGGGCGGATGCTAATGGGATGCTTGCAGGAATGTACAGTGATGGGGACTGTGTGAAACGTGTGCACGACATTGGCCGAGCACACATGATAGTATGTCTAAGAAAAGGAAAAAAAAAAAAAAACACACACAAACAACACACCTTCCTGTTTCACAACACATTTGCCCGTTTTAGAAGGTAGAAATCAGCCAGCTCTAAAAATAGACATGAGAAGAGAGAGAAGCCGCGCAGCAGCGGAAGGGGAGCATGCAGGAAGGGGAGGAAGATGGCAGCTGGTAGCGTGGATCAGTGCTACCCAGACTGGGCCTATGGCCATGCTTCAGCCTCCCTGCTCAGTGTAGAGCTGCCAGGGCCCCGGCAGGCCTGCCCCGCACAGCAGTGGGGCATCAAGGCCGCGAAAAAGGGCCACGTACATCCAGCAGTGGGCCATCCCTGATGCTCCCCTCTGGGGTAAAAAGCCAGCCCAGGTGGCCGGTGTTCTAATAATACACGCTTGGAGGTGAATTTGGGCGCAGCAGGAGCAGGTTTGACAGTGAGGGCCATAATTAACGGAAAAAAAAGAAAGAGTGACTGGACTAAGAGAGGTGGGAGGAGGGTGCAGTGATGTAATGGCACTGCTTGCTTCCTCACCAGGACATGGTTGAAAGTGATAAGAGTGTGCTTATATGTGTTGGCAGAAGGCACGGATAGTTATAAGTGAGATTTATCCTTTGCTCAGGTGATACTATAAGACGGATTGGCCGCGGGGGCTTAGACAACCTGAGGTGAACTTAACGAACTGCCGCATCTCACCAATCAGGATTTCAGGATTGACGGCTATGAGAGGAGGAGAGACCATAAGCAGAGAAACACAGAGGATGTGTTTGCATGTGTACTGTACCTTTAAGAGACATGGACTGGACACAACATTCAAGTTGCAAATTAAAGAGAATTTTTTGACCCTTGATCCCATTATCACATTTTTGTCCCTTCTGAATTCTGTTCATGGTAAAAATTGACTCCCTAACTCCATTGTAGAGATTTGAGGAAACAGACAGGGATGAGGAGTTTGAGTCTCTTTGCTTTCCGACTGTCTTCAAAGCTTTCCAAACATTTCAATGCAACAGAATCCAACTCAAATATTCAGGCAGGCAAAATTCCCATGGAAATACTGCAGAAAAGTACCAGAGATAAGTTCTGTTGATTTGAAATGTTTGCAAAGCTGGAGGAGACTCTCAATCGCTCAATGAAGGTTGTGAGTAAGACTGTGGACTGTAAAATAAATAATCTTAAACTGAGGCGAGGGGTGCAAGTTTCCAACAACTTTCCCAAAAGAAACTGGGAATTCATCGAGATTCTCTCAGCAGAGATACCTGTTGGGATGCTTTCTGTGTTGGCTTGAAGTCAGACTCAAAGACGAGTGTTGAATTTGATTTGTATTGATTTCAAACTTTCAAAAAAACCGAAAGACAAACTCAATGCCCTGATTGGCATTCTTAATCCTGGAGGCCATATATCTAAATGATCTGAACCAAAGAGGTGGTGAGTAAAAGTTCTTTAAAAAAAGGACTAAACCCAATAAATAAACAAGAAAAAAAACATACACCAGAATGTTCCTTTAACATCACTTACACAGCTGTGTACAGATACAAGTACTAATGCATATCTGAAATAAAGTCGTACAAACTCTTTTTAAAACTTTTTAAAAGGAGCAACGCAGAAAACATCTTGCAAATTGCCTTGGGTGACGTCACTTGAGTCAGCAGTAACTGAGGCTTATGATGACTTCTGTATTTACTCACTTAAAACTGCTATAATTATCCCCATGTAGGGGTTCACATTTGAATAACTGTGCGATTTACCTGAACCTTTTCCTGCCAGCCCCCCCCCCCGAGTATATTTTCTACAAGAAGTTGGGATGAGCTGATGTGTAAACGCGGTTCAACGCAAGCGAGTGGGCGGGGTTGATGATATTCTTATCACATGACCAGTGATCGATCGCTGCGGTCCTCTAGCACGTAATAAAGCTGCTTCATACCCTTTACGTCTTCTTTGTTCTTTTCCACTCTTTTGTTGATACTGTCAATTACGTGA